GGCCTGATGTGGACCTGGTCCCGGAAAAAGAGAGTGGCTGGATCCATTACTTTGGTCCTCCTGCTGCCTTTGGTAGTTGACAGAGTTGGGCCTCCAGGCGGGCAAGGGATTCCTGAGGAAAAACGGTGGGCCACCATGATGAGAAAGACAAGCAGAGAGGTGCAAAGACAGCACCTGTGACAATACAGATAACAAACTCTTGACAAGGGGAGCCTCCCTGGTGCTGAAAGGGTTAAAGTCTCAGCACTATCAAGCTATTCCCAGTTACTGCAGCAGGGCAGCAGGAGACCCATCCACAGGCAGGGAACTGACCACATGGCCCAGCAGTCCTCTCTTTGGCCCTCTGCTCCCCTCAGCCGTGGGTTTCAGTAGATCTGCCTGTTCTGCTCCCCACTCTGTCTGGTGAATTCTCTCATTCCCTGCACCTCTGGCTTATACCCCAATTCTACATGCATAAATCTTTAAAAATATATATGTATTCTAATACTAATTGAATTTGCTGTAACAAGCATAATGATGCTTCATGACTTAAGGTTAAATGTTTTAAGATTTGTAAGTTGCTAGGTTCCTATCTGCTTTTTACCACGGTAAGAAGCTAACCAGAACTAATCAAAAAAGAACGGGAGAGGGAATTTACCAGGGAAGGGATAGGCAAGTTTCCTAAGCCAACATCAAACAATAGGAAGTTAAAAATTAAAGAGGCCAACATATTTTCAAAAAACAGGAAAAAAAAGGTGTAACAGACTGAGCAGCAGAGGATGTTGTAATCCAGGTGCCCACGGAGGACTCGAAAATGAAGCGATTTGCTAAGGACCAAATGTGCACATTTGAAAAGTTATTTAGAACTGTGATATAACTGTATTGTGCGTAGAGGTGGGGGAGTGTTACATAATGAGATGGCCAGTGTGAGAGCTCCATCCTTAACTACATAAAAAGGAACCTACCATGCTGTGTCTAAAATTAATGAGAATTAGGGCCCTCCCCGGTGGCAGACCTCTCCTGACTCGCCCGCTGCTCCCCTCAGCAGTGTACGTCTCAGTCGGCCTGTTCTGCTCCCCACTCTGTCTCTGGTGAATCCTCTCACCGTGCCTCTGGCCTGTACCCCAGTTCTTATTCATAAATAAATAAATCTTTAAAAAAATTAATGAGAATATTGGTGTGTTAAGAAATGGAAGCAAGTATAGAAGACCTAACACGGTGTGCACGCAGTGGCCTCTGGAAAGCACGACTGGGCAAGGGAGGGGAAGGCGAAGGGCCCTTCGAAGCCTGTAAGTCTACCGTGAGTTTTCAATGTGTGTTTGCCTAGGTATGTGGCAATATTGTTACCAAGTGGAGCTTAGTTGTGATAGAGGCATCACAGTAAAAACCGATGAGCAGGAGAGCTCCCATGGGAGGGTGAGGGGCAGAACAGACAGAAGAAGGTGCATTAAGAGAAACCGTTAAATTAAAGAAGGAATCCACAATTGGACCTTAACTGTAGCTAGAGATGAATTTGTTAGACTGCAAACCTAGAAATGCTGAAAAATGTGTTACTGGCATTTCAAGCTATTCAAACCATCTCCCAGCTAATTTAATTGATGTGACCAGTTTCTTAAAAGATTAACTGAGTCTGGCCCTCCCTGGTGGCGCAGCAGGTTAAAGCAAGCACAGCACTAAGAAACTAAAGCCACTTCAGTATGAGTTCGATCCCCGTCCAACCCGGAAGAGATCCACATGGCGCTGACCTCTCCTGACCGGCCCGCTGGTCCCCTCTGGCCTAGTTCAGTATGAATAAATAAATCTTAAAAAAAAAAAAAAAAAGATTAACTGAGTCTGCCATTAAAATTTTAGCCTTCTGAACAAAATTGCTGGTGGCTTCACATCCTGATTTCACATGAAATCACATCCTCATTCCAAACTATATTACAAAGTGTAGTAATCAAAACAATATGGTGCTGACATAAAAACAGACACACATCAATGCAACAGAACAGACAGCCCAGAAGTAAGCCCCTGTCTATACAGTCAATTAATTCATAACAAAGGAGCCAAAAATATACAATGAGAAAAAGACAGTCTGTTTAGTAAGTGTTGCTGGGAAAACTGAACCACCACATGCAAAATAATGAAATCGAACACACAAAACTAAGTTCAGAATGGGTTCAGATTTAAAAAGTCCTTCCTAAATCCATAAAGCCCCTGAAAGAAAACATAGGCTGTCAGCATCTTGACATCAGCCATGATCTTTCGGATTAGACACCAAATCCAACGAAAGCAAATGCTTTGTTTGGGCCACCCTGGTAGTGCAAGGGTTGAAGACAGTACTATGAAGCTATTGCCAGCCACTGCAACACAAGTTCAAACCCTGTCCAGGGAGGTGACCGACATGGCACAGCAGACATCTGCCTATTCTGCTCCCCACCCTATCTCTGGTGAATCCTCTCATCCCCTGTACCTCTGGCCCAAGCCCCAGCTCTTATATGCATAAATGAGTCTTTACCAAAAAAAGTGGGCCCTCCCTTGTGGTGTATCAGGTTAGGAAGCAGCACTGCAAGCTAGCCACAGATACTTCTGTGCGAGTTTGATCCCCAGCCCTGGAGGTGATCCACATGGCACAGCCGACCTCTCCTGTCTAGCCCGCTGCTCCCCTCAGCAGTGTACTTCATCAATCTGCCTGTCTGCTCCCCACTCTGTCTCTGGTGAAGCCTCTCACTGCCCCTGAGGCTCTGGCCTGTACCCCAGCTCTGTATGCATAAATAAATAAATCTTCAAAAAAAAAAAAAAAAGCTATATGCACCTTATGTTTACTATAGCGTTATTGCCAAAATAATGAAACCACCAAAATGTCCATCCATCAAAGACTAAAGAAATTGTGTGTTTTAGAAGTGGAGTATAATGCAGCCATAAAAAGGGAATCCACACTTGACATCAATGAACCCTGAGGACATTATGCTAAGCCATACAGAAAAAGACAAATACCATTTGACTTTAATTATATGTAGTACCTAAAAAAAAAAAAAAAAACATATAAAGAAAACCTTGAACTCACAGCAACAACCACAGTAGATTAGTGGTTGCCAGAGGTAGGCAGGGGGGATAGGCTGAAGGACAGTATTAGCGAGCATGGGGCAGGTACAAGCTTACCGTTTTAAATAAACCCTGGGTATGTAATGTACAACATGGTGACAATATTTTATTATTGCATGTTTGAAAGTTGTGAAGAAAGATTTTCGAAGTTTCATCACAAGAAAGAAAAAATTGTAGCAAAGAAAAAGTGTAACTTATCATTGGTGAAATTTCACAATATATACAAATAAGGAATAATTACATTTGCACCCAAGACTAACATAATAGTAAGTGTCATTTATACCTCAATTAAAAAAGAAAAGAAAACCTTTGCCCTTCTGGTCTTGGTTCTTCTCCTCCTTGCAACACGGGTGTTGTCTTTGGGAGAATGAAACTGAAAGGCTGAGGGATGTGTTCTCCATCTTCACTTCCTGGGCTGAAAGTCAGAAGACTAAAGTTAAGTGTGCTGGAGACAGCTCTCAGAATGGGACCTCACCCACCCCCTGGCCTGTTGCAGCTGCCTTATCACTTCCTTCATCACGTGTGAAACACTGTAAAGGAGATAAAAGGGGCATACATACAGTTCACAGCCGGATCTATGCCCTAGGTAAACTAGTCCAATTATCTACAAAACATGCTAGCCAGCAACAATTAAGGATATCATTTAGGAAGTATAGCAAATTATATATGAACATGAATACCAGGTGTCATGGGGGCAAAGGGGAACAAAATACTTGTTTTACGAGCCGAGTCTGGGATGTGAGGTCTTCCTCAGGTGAGCTGTTTGATCCTATGTGCCCATCATGACCAGCTCTGCTGTATTTAAACTGAGCTTTGAGTACCTAAATTTGAGCTTCAGTTTCTGCCAATATGTAGGCTAGAAGCAGTAGTTTGGGAGGTGAGTTTTCTAACCATCCAAGGCTATATCCCTAGCAGCTAGTACAGAGCTTGACATGAAGTAGCAGCACAGAAGGTATTTGTTGAAAGAGGGAAAAATACAGGATAAATATCATTTAATAAAACGTAAACTTAAATCTGATTTGTCTAGCTGACTAAAACATAGGAACAGAATCTCTTTTCTGTAAAATCACCTCCTCTATCCTGTTACTGTGCTCCTGTTTCATATATATGTGGCATATAAGTACAAATCAATGCAGTCGGAGCCAAGGTTAGCCATCGTCATAACGAGAGGACAAGCATTCCTGGAGTCCATAGCAGGTAGGTGATTGTTCTAGTCAAGTCAAGCTTTTGGGTACATTATAGATTATAACACTACTAAATCCTTAATATATTAAACCTTAAATTTCAACTAATAACCAGTGAACATAGCAATGTGAGACAAAGCCATAAAAATAAACTTCAAATACACAAATGGATAAATTGTCCATTCTTTGAACTTGCATTGCTACTCTGGACACTGTATTCCAAACATTCTTTTCTGAATGGCCTATGCTGTGGAAAGACTTCCACAGACTATGTTCTGGATGAAAAAACACACCATGCCCTTTCCCACTCGTGTATTTCATTGTGGGAATCATAAACTTAGCTTACAGTCATGGCTTCTTGGAAAATTATGAGAAGACTCTCTTTGATTTTGAGGATTTTACTGTTCAATACCAAGGTAGCAAAAAGCCTCTACTACAGCTGCTCGCGCCGGAGCTCTGGTAGACATTGTTACAAGACTGGGACAGCCTCAGAAACTCATCTCCACAGAGCCCCCACAGCCACTGCCCAGCAATTAATTTGCCAAGGCAGGAGAAGTGAGCACCCCTGGAGTCGAGAAAAGGGGTGCTGAGCTCTCAAGCAGTGCAGTGGGGCAAACGCATCAGCCAAGCTGTTGAAATCTGAAATCTGTCTCGTGGCTCCTATGCTGTGTGATTCTTTCTAGAGCTAATCGTGAGTATCTTCAAAACAACTCATTATATACTCAAGATTCTTTAAAAACTTTGATGCTGTGGCAGTGCAAACAGCATTCTTTTTATTGCTCAACTTCGGCATGGGCATATACATAGTTAATTTTTAAAAACCATTTTTACATATGTTATTGATAAAGCTCATGTAACAACTGAGTGAAAATACAAAGAATATCAAAGCTAAAACACTCTGTAATAAATACAAATACAATGAAAATGATAAAACTTTGTTTTTAAAGTCAGTTTGAGAAAAGGAAGAATATTACACTAAGTGAACTAATTACATCTAGAAACACAACAACTCCGTATTCGGTACAATCATCATCCTAAACGTAAGAATGTTAAATACCACAAATGGCACCTCTGGCTGTGTGCTGCAGCTTAAAAATAGAAGCAGAAGCTGCTCCATCAAACGAAAAAGGGCTGGAACAGTTTCTAACTCCCGTCAATGCAATCAGTTCCACGCACCTGGGGAGTTCGGAGCCGATTTAGTGTTATAAAATAAAGCAAATTACACTGTATTTAAAAGGAAGCTTGTGCTCTGGACTGTAAATACAAGGGAAAAAGAGACTTGGTAAAAATAAAACCCATCCAGGGTAACAAACTATGTGCAAAACAAAATATACACTATACACAACTCTATTTGAAAATTCTTTACATCAAGAAATAAGACCATCTGAAAGAAAACTCACCTCTGAACTACATATGAGCTCTACAAACTAACCTCTGTTCAAATCAAGCATTAGTGATGGAAAGGCAATGTATGGAAACAATGACATCACAAAGCTGAAATAACTACAGGAGGGATTGGAAAAAACCCAGTCAAGAGGGACAAGTCGAAATAAATATTCACATTAAACTGAGGTGCAAGTCCAAGGTTTAGTGACACCTGGGGAGTCTGTTTGCTTAGCACCTATTTGGGAAAAAATAGGTAACATAATCGAAATCTAAATTGTCGTGAACTTAATAAATTATGTTGGAGATACCGTATACTGCTATAGGGTAGTTTCTTTCTTTTAAAGCTCTATTAAGTCATTAGTATAAAGTTAAAAAGGCACTCAAAAAGCGATGGTATTTGCCTGCTTTATATTGTACATTACGTTAGTAGCATTTCATGATTACTGCATCCATCAGCCATGATTTCGCTAATATGTCATGTACTTTTTACTGAGAGATGGTAAGAGGCATGTTTACACGTACTAGTGCTTTAATAGAAAAGAGACGGACCTGTCACTACTAAGATACTATCATGAAAGCTGAAAACTGATGATCAAGCAGTATATAGAAACGTCTCTACAGTTCAAGATGCTCTTCGGTACGTAGCAGGAAAACAGAACAGTGTTTAGGAAGAAAAAAGTCAACATAAGCACATTACCATAGCACAGTTATGATTGACCAGTCTGCCTAGAGCAGACAAATTTGGCTGTATGAGTAAATTTAAATACTTAGAAACTACACAAGTAGTTCTCAATTTTTTAAAGCAGCAAAAATTCCATTTTTCATTTCATCCATTTCTTGTCCCCCACCACCGCCACCACCAGCCCCTTCCCATTGATGTTTACTTGCATTTCCAATGTATCAGAGAAAAACTGGAGCTGCTTTGAATAAAGGGGACTATGGTGGGGACCCCTCAAAGAATACCTAGGACTGACCTCCTCTCTTAAACCATTACTTCTGAGGCACCTCTGAGGAGCAGCTTGGCCCCAAGAACACAAACTGAAGACTAATTCATCAAATGAAAGGACACAAAGGACCTAGTCACATAGCTATCTCATCATACTTTGCTATTCTTGATTTCACATCAATGTAAAATAGTGCATATTTCTATGGCTGAATTTTCTTTTCTTTTTTTTTTTTTTTTACAATCCATGCATGATTTCAGACTCTTCTAGTCCCTCCCTCTAAAATTTTGGTTAATCTGGATCATACAACATGCCACACATATTGAAAGCTAACTCTGGACTCTTCAACAACAGATGCTGACCTTCAAAACCAAGCAAACTAGGAATCCCTTATACTTCCAAAATTAATTCTTCAGTTCTTTTAGACAATTCATATCATTAAGTTAGAATCACGGTTTTGTTTTTCTTTTAGCAATCACATCCCTTGTCCACCACCTCCATTTTATTTTTTAGATAAAAACAGGATTTTTTAAGCTTTCTAAGTAATCTTTACAGCAAAATTTTCCATTTTCCATAATTTTAGCTGATTAAAATAGCAGCTAAACAAAGATTAGGATGGTTTATTTGATAGGAATTTACATTGTAGTTAAAATATAATATAAATTAGGTGCACTTGTCATAAGAGACTTTGGTTTACAGAAGTGTGTGTGTATGTACATATATATGAAATAAGCTGACTTGACAAAATAATGAAAACCCCCTCAACATTATCTGAAGAGCTATAAAATGCAGTATTTCCACTGAAGATGAAAAGTAAATGTGTGATACCTGATCATACTGATTGAAGATAAAAAATACGAATTTTTTAAAGTCTCTTAAAAACAGGGAGCCCCTGATTATATCTTATTGAAGCAATTAAGCTGCTAAGTTTACACTAGATGGTTGCAGTAGGAATCTGACAATCAAAATTATAGAGCTTTATCCTAGGAAATTTGTGCTTAAAAAATATAACAAAGACTCACTTAGGCTAGGTTGAAACTTATGTTTTTAAAATATAATGCTTTGCTATAGAAAAATGTAACTAAACGTAATTTTTTTAAAGATGATGCTTTTAGCCAATTGTTTACAAAGGTAGAATAATTCAAAATAATTTTATTTTATATTTTTACAAAGAGCAAGTACAGGAGCTATTCAGAATCATGTATTCAATCAAAATAAAATGTGTCTTGTACCGACTGCTGAAGTTGTCTTGATGTTTGAGAGATTTGAAATCTATGAAGTGATTTGAATAGATTACCTTTTATAAAAATAGTAGTAGTCTTTAAGTGTAGAATACTGCCTAACTCTGGAAATGTAGGAAAAGTCAGCATTCTTTAGGTTCAAGATATTCATTTTAAATAGCAGCTGAATATGGCCTCATGGCAAAGCATAAAGACCTCTTTTTTCCTTGAAAAGGAATTTCAAAATTGTCCTTTCCCCTCACAGTGTCCTAGAATTTTTAAGGGGGGAGGGATGGGCATTTTCCTTATTTCAGCATTCCTTGAAACTGCTGAGAGGAGGCTGTCAGTCAGGGGTATAAATAGAGTCCTGGGTGAGTCCTTGAAGTTCCTCATTCCACAGCAAATCCACATGTTTCTTCGATGGCTGTTAGCAGCTTTTCATATAACTTTTCATAGCTTTCATAGGGCGGAATGTCTATTCGATTGAAGCTGTGAACAAGCAAATCAGATTTTACTCAGTTCATTCAAAATAAGTAAACTGGGCTAGCAAGTGTACACTAATAGAGACATACCACTCTGTCACAGAGAAAAAGTAACAGCAAAAGGTTAAGATGTCTCTCAAGTATTCCTACTTTGAGGTTCTTCTACCAATTTCTGAATAGGAATCTTAAATCATTGAAGAGTTGTTTATCATTTCTTTCTGATGTCCCTTTAGTAGTAAGAACAACTGATGAAAAGTCATCTCTGCTTTCAGCCAATTGTTTACAAAGGTAGAATAATTCAAAATAATTATCCCGACCTACAGGGATGCGTAAAAACACTGCAAACACAGCTTACCAAGTGTGGGCTTTGGGCAGGTGGTTCGTGCAGGCATCAATCTGGTGTATGGTGAAGAGCCGGGGGCCTGCGGCACCTGTGGGGAGGGGGATGTGGCTCAAATCACTGCAGGTGCACCTGGATGAGTCTGTAGACTCCAAGGACAAAACTGGTACATAAAACAGAGTCTTGGGAAGGAGGACAATGGACCCCTCACAAGCCACCAAAAGCAGCAAGAAAAGAGTATGACTTGGATAAGCAGGATTCCTTTGCAGGCCATCGTTTCAATTTGAGAAAAAGTTCAAGATTGAATTTTTTATCTTCTACAGAAAATCACTGACTCAAAATTATGAGAAGAAAAGTAATCGGTCAGAATCAAGATAAAAAATATACATACAGACATTAAAATGAGGCAAAGTCAGGTATCATGGCTTAAGCCTGGCTGAGAACAAAAGATGAAGAGTCTGTAGAATAAATTTCATTTAGTATAAGACACCCCATACAAACATAAGTTGAAATACAACTCCACTATATGCATCTGGGAGCTCTGATAATGGTTAGTTTTCCACATGTCAATGGATGTGCAACTCCCAGGAACACTTCCACCAGGGCAATATTGAGGGCAATACTTCCGAGTTATGTACCAGGCTTGTTTTGTACATCCTCAGTGAGCACCAGCAGCAATTTGAAAATGAAGCACCTCAGTCGTAAAGGAAGCAACTACCACCCAGTAAAACCCCACAGTCATCAGCAACATCACCAACTCATCTCAAATGAAACCATCCCAAACAGAAAAAAATGGTGCATGGTTGGAAATCAACGGCCTGATACCATGCAATCATTTGGTCAAACACATGGCTTACACAACTCATGCTGCTCTTTCTATGAAGAGGATAAAAAAAGAGGACAAAGAAGCATCCCAAGTGGGTAAATGTTTTGCCAAATTAAGATGTGAATATGGAAGCAGACAGACTTCTCCTACAGGAATGTGCAACAGAATCTAAATGCAAGGTGACCAGAAGACAAGAAGCAGGGCGTCATCACATCTGGTCTCTAGCATGGGGCACTCACTACAATCACAGAGACCCCAGCAGAAAAGGCTCTTGGGGGGGGGGGGGGAACAAAGGAAAGGAAGGAGAAGAAGGTATCAAGATATGACAGTTGCAGCATAAGAAACAGTGCAAAGAGAACCTGTTTATAAGTACATGGTTTGTAAACCACATTCACCAAATTCTGACCCCTCCCCCAAGCTGTCGCCTTGTCATCAGCCCCCCAGGCTCTTACCTTGTAAAGCTTTGAAACCTTGCAGAGGCACTCTAGATGATCCTGTCACAAACTGGAGCAACCGTGCTCGTCGTTCTTCATCGAAAAATTCTACAGCTTTCCAGAACCACTTGACAACATTGCTGTCGGGTGTACAGTGTTTTAACCGGGTGTTTGCCTTCCAGTCATTAACATCTATCTTCCCAAGTCCACAAATAATGAGCTGTTAAAATATTGCACACATAGTGAGCCAATGGAAACTCAAATTAAGCCAAAAATTCCTCAAAAGAGTGCCCTCCTGGTGGTGCAGCGGGTTAAAGAGCAGCACTGAGAAGCTAAAGCCTCTTCCGCATGAGCTCGATCCCTGCCTGCCCTGGAGGTGACCACATAGCGCGGCAGACCTCTCCTGACCCGCCCACTGCTCCCCTCAGCAGTGTACTTCTCAGTCAACCTGTTCTGCTCCCCGCTCTGTCTCTGGTGAATCCTCTCACCCTCCGCATCTCTGGCCTCCCAGTTCTGTATGAATAAATAAATCTTTTTTAAAAAAAAAATTCCTCAAAAGAGAATGTTGTATTTTCAGGGCCAGCTCCCATATGCTAATTTCCCCCCCACACACACTTTTTTGTTTAAACATCACAATGCAGAAAGCATTTCTAGATACACACTCTAGGTCCTCTGCTCAGACCCTCTGATTCTTTGGGCCTGGGATAATACTAAAGATCAGTATTTTAAGAAGCTCCATGGATATTTATTCACCACAAGCTCCCTGCCATAACAAGAATGTTCCATTAATTTCATAGAAGTGAAAACTTAATGGACAGAAACTAAAGTCAAAGAGTAAGTGCCATTCACATGCGCCTTACGATCTGCTCCACAACTATTTTAACACTTAGTAGCTTTGGGATTCACGGTTTGATCCCAGGGCTGGGGTATGGCAGTAACATCTACTGCACTACATCCTATCAAAGCAGCCAGCAGCACACAGAAACTCCAGCGATCTGTGCTGAACTAATGATAATCTTAAAATTGTATCTAAGTCCAAAATACAAAAAGCACTGATACACAGCCTTGCCTGGCCTCCGGGATGCAGGCTCAGTATAAACTGTAGCAAGATCACTTTGGGGGCCCTCCCTGGTGGCACAGCGGGTTAAAGCACAGCACTAAGAAGCTAAAGCCACTTCAGCATGAGTTCCATCCAGCCCTGGAGGTGACCACATGATGCGGCAGACCACTCCTGACCCGCCTGCTGCAATGTACTTTGTCAGTCAGCCTATTCTGCTCCCCACTCTGTCTCTGGTGAATCCTCTCACAGCCCCTGCACCTCTGGCCTATACCCCAGTTCTGTATGCTGTCTTCTGAAGCTTACTGTAAATCCAATTGAGCCCTATCTCTCATCCCCAAAAAATTCAAAACGGTGGAGCCTAATTAACAACGCATTATTTAACTAAGTCAATAACCATTTAATTAGGAAGTTAAGATATGTATTATAAGACCTATACATGCCATCTGTTGAAAACAAGAAATAAGACTTGAAAACTAATAAGGATGACATACAATGTAGACACAAAGGTTTTCAGAACATAAGAGATGGCTTATTTGTAGAAAGTCCAAACCATGAAAGGATTCCAAAGAAGGAAAAGAGTTTTCCCAGGCACAAGAATTCTCACATCATTGTACCATAAAACTTCAAAGGCACCAGAAATGCAATCTTCCTTTAAAACTAAGTAACAGAAAATTCTCAACCTTTCCTTGTTATTTATATTTGATGATGTCATGATGTTAATATACTGACCTCTAACTCCTTCTCATCAAATGTCTTCAGCAGATGCTGTGGAATTACTTCATTAAATCCTTTCTGCAGAGCCAGAAATTGTGCCTCAATGCCTCGTAAAAATCTCCAGTTCACATACAGCCTGTAAATATTGCGCAACGGTTTCACATGATCAAATATATCATGTAGTAATGATTTGATGACTATTATGAATCTCTATTTTAGCAACAGTATACTTTAAAATTGTCTAGCATTAAGAAGTCAATCTAAAAGAATCTCAGATTATTGGGGCTTAGAGAAATTAAAATATGGATAAAAGTTCTTTCTAAATTTCTAGCATGAATACCAAAACCAGGAAAAAAGAGCCCATTTAACCAAAACTAACTGGTTTTCCAGTTTCTCCTGGAAATATAATCTCAAAGTTTTGGGTGTTGTTTTTATGTTGGGGCAGTAAATGGGGAAGCGAATAAGTAAAAGAGAATCCTCAAATGCAAAAGATCAGTAAAAGCAAACAATAAGCATGTTTTGATTAAATAGTCATTGTTCCCTGGAGGCTTTAAAAACTCTGGAACATGTATTTTTACCAACAAAAAGAACACTACACTACATTTAATATGTAATTTTACTCGTGCTTTGGACTTAAAATTTGTAAGTGAATTCCATTTTTCTTTTTTTGTAGCCAGGAAAATCACCATCTCATAAATCTCAGACTATTCATATTTCAAATCTGTCAACATTTCCTTTTCTAAACTTGGAGAAAAAGTTCTCTAAGAAATAAGTTATTTAACATCATATGCTTGCGGGGGGCGGGGTCTCGTTTTTAAGGGGGCAGCAAAATCACACATCTGTGAAAAATGTTTCTTCCTAAATTTTTTTCTCTCAAAACCACACATGGCAAAGCATAAATGTAGTAAACTATAAATATGATTAAATTCTGGGGAGGAGACAAAGGATCTCAGTAATCCACACTAGATGCTGGAAGTGACATACTGTTAAATTTGGGGAATTCCTGTCATTCTTTTAGTTTTTAATTAGAATGTTAACTCATGCTTGTTATATGTATGTGGAGTCTTGGACAACAAAGGTTTCAACTGTGCAGGCCACTGAAACACAAACCATCTTGTAAAAAGTACAAACATTTGGTATCAGTAAATATATAGTACCAGAGTACTATAAATGTTAATTTCTTAACGATTTCTTAAAAACATTTTCTTTTCTGGCCCTCCCTGGTGGTGCAGTGGGTTAAAGCACAGCACTGAGAAGCTAAAGCCACTTCCGCATGAGTTCAATTCCCGCCTGCCCTGGAGGTGACCACACGGCGCGGCAGACCTCTCCTGACCCGCCCGCTGCTCCCCTCAGCAGTGTACTTCGTCCATCTGCCTGTTCTGCTCCCCACTCTGTCTCTGGTGAAGCCTCTCACTGCCCCTGAGCCTCTGGCCTGTACCCCAGTTCTGTATGAACAAATAAATAAATCTTTAAAAAAGAAAAAAAAATTCTTTTCTGTAATTTACTTTATTATAAGAATACACTATATCACTCATTTAACATATAAAATGTGTTCGTTAGTCAACTACTGATGTCATTCATAAATAGCAAGCTATTACCCTCCCAAATTCATCCTGGGCTGGCATACAACTTGCATTAACAAAAAGAATACAGCAGACATGATATTGGCCAGTTCTAGGCTTAAGCATTAAAGTGAGCCAACAACGTCTGCTTTTCTGCTCTGGAAAAATAATCACAAACAAGTCTGACTATCTTGCAGGTGAGAGACACCATGGCTATGAGTGACAGGCCCCTGAAAGCACGTGGGGCAAACTAGGCCCCAGCAGCCCACCCCCAGCTCAGTACCAGATTTATGAGAGACTGACACCACCTGGAGAAGTGGATTGCTATCCCTGTTATTCTCTGTCCTAATTACTAACCTGTGGAATTCTGGGAAATTAAAAAAAAAAAAAAACTTTTTTTTAAGCCACTGAATTCTGAGCAGTATTTTGCAGGATTAAGTAATGCTAAACACTTAAATGTTTTTTGGCACTAATATTAAAGCAATTCTCAGGCTTGAGAACATGATAGTATTTACCTGACATACTCCTTTTTATTTTCTTCAGTAACTGGGATACTCTTGCCATTTGGTTTAAGTTCATGCTGAATAATTTCACCATATGCATTATGTTCTACACAGAAAGTATGGTCCAAAACACCTGTAATATCATTCTCACTGGAAAAGAGAGGTGAAGATGGAAATGGAAAATCTGGAAATATAGCTTCTTAGCTGCATTACCAGCAAGACTTTATAAAACAAATATAGTTTTATGACATAGCAAGTACAAGGTCAGATTCTTTTTACTCATCCTTATGCTACCTTATCTCCTAGTTCTTGAGCGGAAAAGTCAAAGACATTTAACTTTCATAAACATGGGAAAACATTTTACTTTCTGCAAATAAGAAAGAGATTTGCCCATATCTGGCCTTTATATAAGGAAACTTCAATAATGTTTGGCATTCAAATAAAGAGACCCCTACTAAAATCTGGGTATACCTCCAAGAGACCAAAATCCTAGTGAGAAAGCTACTTGTGTATATGGTAAAAACAAGTAACGCCAATGTGTATCTTCACATATAAATAGCCTCTTTCAGAGCACAACTGGTTCTTAAAAATACCCTTTGAACAATATGATGTCAGCAGTCAACACTTCATCAGGCATTCTCAATGCTAACTGACATAGGCATGAAACAGAACCTATCTCACACTGAGGAAATGATACACAATCCTTTTAAAATGGAATACACTAGCTATTTTTCCTTTTAAAAGCAGTAACCCTTGAAGACTTTTAAGAATTTAAAATACACAAGAAAGTGGTACAAAGAGAAAGAGTTTACATGGTCTTATCACTCAGAAAAGCACTCAGTATTTCCTGTGTATTATCGTTTTAATTAAAAACAGTACATTCAGGCTCTCCCTGGTGGTGCAAAGGGTTAAAGCATCACATTAGGAAGCTCTCCAAAGCCACTGCAGCATGAGTTCAATTCCCCACCAGGAAGCTGACCCACATGGCGCAGCAGACTTCTCCTGATCCACCCACTGCTCCCTTCAGCAGTGTAGTTCAGTAGATTTGCCTGTCCTGCTCCCCACTCTGTTATCTGGTGACCCTCTCACACACCACACCTCTGGCCTATACCCCAGTTCTGTGTGCATAAATAAATAAATCTTAAAAAAAAAAAAAACAGTACATCCATTTTGCAACATTATCTTTTTGAAAGCTCAGACTAACTATAATGAATAAATACAGGCTCAATACATACAGTATCCACACTAAACTGTTATGAAGATCTGGGTCAACTAACTCCATGTCATCCAAAGTAATTGACTTTCCAAGCAACTGTTTATAGAACGGCAATGTGAAACCACCATCGATATAGTGTCCGTGAAACACAGCCATGCCCATTATCCGTCCAACAAAGTGGAAATATGATAAATGTTCCTGAAATTGAAAAATTTACATAAATACTCAAATAGGGAATTTTTAACAAAATTAAATATTTAAGCAACATTAATCTTTTTTATAGTTAAGTATCAGCTTAGCCTCTAATTTACAACTCTTGAAATGGAACCAGTAATCATATAAAAGCTCAGAAATCCTGAGGGAGCTCCTATTGAACATGCAATAGATTTTCTACATTACTAAATGTCTAACAGAGTCAATGCATGTCTCGAAGGGCATTCACTTCATAAAAGTTATCTTTAGAATTAAGACCAAACTACACTCCCACAACAGCTTCATTACAGCACTTGCAAATCCTGTTCTCTGCCTTCCTCTCACCTCCTATTGAACCTGTACATTCTGGCTCTGTCATGGGGAAAAAAAGCTATCAATTCTAAACCTCTTATTTCCTGAACTTAACAAGGAATTGAAAATATCACAGATTTAACAGCAATGAAATCTAACTTGGGCTTAAGTCCTGATTCTGCCAGTTATTAGTTATGCAATTTTGGGTAAATTACTTAATCTCTCTAGGGTAATTGTCCACATCTGGAAAAAAATAGGTTTAAGATATCTAATAAAGATTTCCATGAACAGTAAAACAAGATGATGAAACCCAAGGTTACTGGACATGGCATAGGGAAAACATTCAACGGATATGAGATGCATTACCACAGTAGCATAATGGGCTCCTCAAGCAGAGCCTCCACTTAAAAAAATCTTGCCTTTATAAAGAATTCCCTGTGATCGGTCTGAACTGTCTACCATGTTTGACAGAGATGGTCTTTCATAATCACTTTGCTAGCTGGACATTTACACTTTAAACTTCTTTTAATTCTCAATAAGTAATCTTCAAAATCATCTTT